GGCGAGGAGTGTTTCGCCCGCACAACACCGTTTGCTTACGTGGCTTTTGACCCGGATGGCAATTGCTCTAAAATTCGTGCAAACGGATCGAACGGCATCAAGTGCGTGTGGGCAGATTTCTAAATGCCACACGTGTGGGCGTTAACATTTTCATTTATTTTTTGTTTTCTCTAATTCCCATGTATCAAACATCAACAAAGTAGTAGTTTTATCTGAGAACTAACAAGTACAATCAGATTGCGGAAAAAACCCAAGTAGACTCTGATTGGGCCGGACAAGCCTGGGCTTTTTCCCAGCGTTCCCCCTCTTAAATGGCCTGCCGCTGGGCCAGCAGTCCAGTTGCCTCAGAGAAATACCCTAAAAAAAAGTTGCCTCAGAGAAACTTTTCTTGCTCCCTTCCTTCTCCGGTGTGTAGCTTCTTTCCTACCCAAAAAAAAAGGCTTCTTTCCTAAAAAAAACAAGAGATGGACGTGCGCGCTCTTCGACGCTGGTGTAAAACCTCTCCCGGAAGGAACTAACCAAAGCGTAACGCGCCTGTCCAGCTCACAAGGTTAATCCGGAGGAATCCTTGTCGTGCAAGACACGAAGGTGATGGCATGCAGGAGATCGGCGACGGATCAGAACAGCCCCCGCAGATTTTGGCAACAACAAAGGCGCCAACGAAAACCGCCGCAGATAGAGCAAAACACACACTCCAGCTGGGCACAACCAATACACGACCCAGAGAAATGGTTCCCGAACCCTCGCGGTCCGCCCGTCCGTCCCCCGCACGCCACAACGGCTGTGCGGCGCGGCGCGGCGCGGCCTGCTGCGCTTCCGTCACGAGCGCGAGATCGGGGGCGGAGCGTTTCGTTTTCTGGCGCGAGCCCAACTGGCACCCACCCACGCCCCATCCCCCCATCCACCACGTGCCGGGCGGGCGAGTGACCCCGGTCAACAGCACCGACGAACGGAGAAAAAGAAAGGGTTTGGTTTCTTTCCCCACCCGTCGCGTCCAAAAAAGACGCGGTTCCCGAGAGGAGAGGAGAGGAGAGGCGAGCGCGCTACGCGCCACGGCCACGCCACGCAGCGCGACGCGAACACGTCCTTTTCCTCGCGTAACGCCTCGAGGCCGCCGGATGCGCGCTGGGGCGTGGCCCCGAGGCGGATCCGACGGCCCCGCGCCGCGCAGCCACGTCCCGCCCCCCACGCTATATAAACCGACGTGGACGCGGCCCGGCGCTCCACCGCGCTATCCACCACCACGCCTCACTCTCCTATCCTCCTCCTCTGTTTTCAGTTCCACTTGGCGGTTCCCTTCCTCTGAGTCGGCTGCTGTGGGAGCGCTGGTAGGGTGCATGGAGGAGGAGGAGGCCGCCGGCGTGAGGAAGCGGAAGCGGGGCGGGGAGGCCGCGGTCGTCGTGGTGTCCGGCGAGGCGGGGCTCGTCGAGGGAGGCGGTGGCTTCTCGTGGAAGGAGGCGGAGATGGAGGAGGGGGAGGAGTACGAGGGCATCGCGGAGGAGTCGGTGGAGGAGGTGATGCGGTGGCTGGAGCTGGAGATCTCCTCCTCGCCGGGGAAGGGCGGCGACGACGGCTTCGTGACCATCAACGGCAACGAGGAGAGCTGCGGCCCGTCCTTCTCCGCCGCGGCGTCCACCGTGATGGCCTCCGTGGACACGCGCGCCGGGGCGCCGCCGCCCCCGACGGCCATCCCCTGGCCGTGGCCGGAGCCCGACGACACCAAGGCGGCGGCGACGGCGTCAGCGGCGGACGGCGACGACGACGCGGACATGGCCGAGCTCGTCGACGAGGAGTGGCTGGTGGAGCTGCTGACCGGCGGCGGGCCCGCGCTGGAAGTAGAGTAGGGTAGGGCGCTCGGGGAGTTGTAGGCAAGGCGTAAGCGTACGCGCGTTTCCTTTTTCGGACGGTTGTACAGCAGGCAAGGAAAAAGCCAGGAAAAAAAAGGGGGTGGTTCGTTTTGGCGTGGCTCGGGTCGATCGCATCGCTTTCTTTCGCGGTATGGGCGGGCACCGATGGATTCATTCATCAATGCGGTCGGTCTTGCTTGTGCGTTGAGAGGTGAGGTTGCGAGGAAATGGAAATGGTACTTGCTGGTGACACGATCGGGCTGGCTGGCTCTTTGTCGCGTTGCCTGCTTTTGCGTCCGGTTTCTAGCTATGGCTCAGTTTTCCTGTTCCGTGCTAGAACCCTTTTCTCGCCTTGACTGGCCGATAGCGAGCGGCGTTTGAATTCGATATCGATCGTACTACTCCTGCGTTTTGTTTTTCTTTCTCTTTCGCCAACCTACCCAACCCACATTCAATCAGCTAGCGGCGTGTACGATCAGTCTCTGTTAACCAATCTCAGAGTCCCGAGGAAAGAAGACCTATCTATCTACAGTAAGCAGGACTAGTAGTAGGAGTAGTACTAAAATGAATCCAAGTTGGGAGGCGTCTCGGCCGGAGCATGAACTAATTTCCGTCGGTACATGTAGTGCGTTCGTGTCCTTCGTGGTCTGGACGCATTTTTTATATTCCAAAGAGGCGACGGTACGAAACAGATGCAGCAGGCAACATGGATAGCCATGAATCCGCGAGTGAGCGAGCACAAAGGAGCGCGGGGCTCGGTGGTCTGTGGTTTCAGGCTATCAGCTTCCACGGCAGACTGCATGCAATGCAAGCAGCCTGCTGTGTGGACAGTGCAGCGCAGTGCAGGCTTTACTTACTTTCACTGTAGTAGTTTCAGGCTTGGGCCGCAGGCCGCAGCACAGCACAGCACAGGTCAAAGACAGCACGTTTCATTACGCATGCATGCAGGCATGCAGCTACCACGACTATCAGGCCAGGTCTAGCCGCCGTGCTTCTCATGTTTGCTACAGAAGGACATGCACTCGTCCCGTCCGGCCGATACGTATGTGTGGATCATGATTACGCAGACGGCGCCGGGTGGTTTGGCCTGGCTTCACCGTGCATGTGGCCAGTTCGTTCGTTCGATCAATGCACGCGTCTGTGTGGTGTGGTAGCTCTAGTGCCCTCTCCTGTCGGCAGGCCACCTCCCTAGAGGGAGGCTAGGGTAGGGGTGCGAGTATCGCCACTGTGGCCGTTGGGTAGATGCATTGATACGTGACATCTTCGTACTGGAACCAACAGTCCAGCTGATGCCGTGCGTGTACTACTATATTGCTTCCTTTAACTGTCAGCAACAGTGAGGCTTGTCCTCGCGCCAAGGGGAAAATATATATTGATAAATAAATGTATGGATCCAAACCCGAACACAAGCATCACGGGCCAGTGCTGCTTCTTTCTTCGCTACACGGGTCAGTGCGTTACCTATCAGCAGACCAAGACTTTTGTTTTTTAGTAGAAGCAGACCAACACATAGACACACATTTTTCTCTTTCTTCATCATTTTTTTTGAGCCGTAGGGAATCATCATTTTTTTTAGTTGTAGGGAATCATCATACAGACAGATCGTCGCAGCAAAGAGGAGGGAGCCTATCCCCACGTACTGTCACGGGTGGGCCGGCCCAGCAAAGCCGGAGCTTTATTCCTTTTTGTTTTCCTTCTGATGTTTTTTTCTTTTATTTTCCTCTTTCTGTTTCTTTTGTGTTTTTTCTTCTTTCGCTATCTTTTATACTCCCTCCGATCTATATTTATTGATGCGGGTTTAGTACAAAGTTGATCAATGTTGGTTTTGTGCTAACTTTGTACTAAATCATCATCAATTAATATGGATCGAAGGGAGCAGTTTTATTTTCCTTTTATATGTCCCTTCCTTCACTAACTTATTAATTTTAATTTTTATCATTTTCCTGTTTAGCTTGTCGGGCAATATATAAATGTTTCATACGTATACATGAAGGTTTCCCCGTTGTCTTTTTTGAAAACTTTGTTTTGCTTTTTGTATTTAATTCCAATAAATGATTAATGACATTTCCCATAATATTGGAATTTTTTTCAACACATGAATATCTTTTGAAAATACTCTCCCCGTTTCAAAATATAAGGTGTTTTTTTTAGTCAACCTTTTCTATGTTTCACCAAATTTATAGAGAAATATCAACAACCACAATAACAAATCTGCATAATTAGATTCATCAATAAATATATTTAATATTTCAATTTCTTTGTATTATAGATGTTCGTACTTTTTAATTGAACTTGGTCAAACATAAAATAATTTGATTTTTTTTTAAAATACACCTTATATTCTGGGCCAGAGGTATCAAAGTATGTTTCCTTTAAATAGACAACCATTTCTTTTGAATATAAGTTATTTATTCTGATATATGTGAGAATTTATTTTTGCAACAGGTAAACCTTTAAATATTTTTTAACCAGTTTATGAATGATTATAAAATCCATACCTATATAAAAAGACCCAAATGAGCAGATGCAATTAAACTCGGCCATCAAATCGTGTTAATCCAAGGACCTAAACTGCTTCGATGTCGAGCGCTCAACACGTTTAGCGTGCAGTTAGTTTCATGCCAAAAATAGTGCTAATCACGTAATAACACGTAAATAATATCCTACTTAATATCCGCGTGCACTTAATATACTTCCAAATTAACCTGCATTGCACGTACACATTGACTAGTATGATTAAATATTCGAGTTTGTGAACAAAAACTTCTAAAAAATAGGACCTGTTCACGGGCCGCACCCAATGAGGCCCATATAGAGACTCATCAGGTGGCATGGCCCGTCCTTCACTGTCTGGGCCCACTACAATCCTTTTCTTTACATGGCCCACTATGCTTTCGTTTTCTTTTGCGATTGGCCCACTATTCTTCCTCTCTGTCCTACTTCGTGCGAAAGGGCGACTAGGTCCATTTGCCGGCTGCATATCCTCTCTCTTTTTCCCTGTAACATGGCAATTCCTCTGTTGTTTTGCAGCCGGAACCAGAGAAATGGACACCACCACCTGCAACTTTAAAGTGCAAGATAAAGAGTGCAGCCGAAGAAAGCCGCTTGCAGTGACCCGGTGCCCTTTTGTTAATGTCTTCTCCTTCTGCTAATGTTCCGTGTGAATCTAGCTTAGGCTGCCGCTATCAACCAAAAGACACCAATGGGTTTAAGGTGTCTCATACTTTGGGTCCAGCAGATGAGATGAGAGATCAATGGCACAAAAGAGCAAAAGGCGGAGGATAATATAGATAAGCACAAGATGGATCTATCGGACCTTTCTTTTCATCGAAGGCCTTACTTATCATGGCAGGTTCCTTTGCTTCTTGTTTTCCTCGGTCGCTCCTTCCCCCCTGCGAATAGAGAAGCGAAACTTGCTGTCCAAGCCCCTTGGGTTCAGGATCACCTGTCTGCTACTCGCACTAGCCAGTTTAGCCAGCACCGTGATGCGTCGATCATGCGTGGTAGCATTGCGACGCAAGGCATTGAAATGGTGATCATTGCGGCCTGCCTCTCGCTCTTGGACGGAGAGGACAAAAAAGAAAAGTTGCCGCGACCTTGCGCGGTGATTGCTCGACGCAAAGCGACGTGCGTGCGTTCCCTCCTCCTCGCTCTTCACATGCCTGGTGCATGCCTCCCTGCCTCCCACTGCCACCGCCAGCGTTGCATTTGCACCGCGCGTTGCAACCCGCTGGATTCATGACACTTTTCCTGTGGCCGCCCGGCCCAGATCGATACATCTCTCCATCTCTCCTCTCGCCAAGGACGAGCAGAGATGGCCATATGCCATATGGTAGGCCAACTCCACCGCGTGACTCCATCCTGTTTGGGTCCGTCCGTTTGGGATAAAACGGACAAGCCGGGCCGCCCAGCGTGCGGAATTAAACGAACTTTTGTTTATTTTGTGTCCGCTTTCGACCCATCGGCGGCCCAAGTTTGCGTCGCATTTGGGGTGAAACGACACAACGCGGACGCGCCGGCCATCTGCGCGTGTCCTCCCCTGGCCCTCCCCTGACCCGCACGTCGGTGGCACATGATGAGTCTTTTTCTATCCGCCCCCTCCC